ACTCACTAAATTCACATTTCTCTCGTTGACTCTCGCTCATTCGTACTTAAAAATTGATTTCATTAGTATACTCGCGCTCGACAGTTCCCTTCGTGTCAAAATTTACGTATGGTAACCTTAATTGCTAGATGTATACCATTGTAAAAACTAACGATCCCTATTATTTTGAATCGCGTATCGTCTCACTCTTGATCTTTAAAATAAAATGTATCATGTACTTTGACTCTCCTTTAAAAATAGACACAGATTCACTTTTGTGATCCTATCGATGCCTTAAGCCTATTACGTATATTTCTCATCACGATCCAATGAACGCGCGATTCACATAAAACGCTCGCTCGTTTGTTTGTTTGTTTGTACGCGATTTTTTTAAAATTTACTCTCATCATTTTCGTAAAACTCCACACCGAACTTTATTTATGTTTATAAACTGCATAACTTTAGAGTTTAATTCTTGAGCAATTGTTTCGCTATTCGGAAAAGTTTAAGAAACACAGAAACGAATCGAAAAAATTGGAAGAAAGAGTAACAAGAAATCTAATTAAATCATCAAATACAACAAGATAATACAAAAACTTTTCAAGGAAAGAACATTTTTACAAAAGGGTACAAATTACGGAAAACAATTTTTGTACCATATTTATATAGAAATTTACTTTTACTTAATTTAATTAAAATTATTTACTCTTCTGATAAAAATTACCCGTTTCGCAGCCTAGAACGATTTTTAAATCGACAGTAAAAGCCTTGAATTTATTTCTATTTGTCGCGCCTACTTAAAAATGAAAATCTACCAAACGCCAACGCTCGCCCTCTTAAAACCCGAAAAAAATTCCGCGATCTCGTACTTTTTCTACATTCACCTTCTTCCTCTTCTGTCTCGTTTGCTGAACAATGCAATATTCAAAATTGAAAATGACATCAACAAATTTCTTTGAAATATAAAGAGAGGGATTTAGGCAAAGAAGCTTCTAATAGGTCTAGGAAAAAAGAGTTTTTTTTTTATAAGCGTCACAAAACAGGCCCAAGCTTTTGAAATTCTTCAAATAATTAAGAATTGCTGACTAAAATTTTAAAAAGTGCTAGAATACCGCATACACAAAAGTGCTCAATTTAAAATTTCATTATTATTTTCCAATAAGCTAAGAAATAACAATATAATAAACATTTAATCAACAATGCGGTTTTCAGCCACTTCTTAAAATTATTACTAAAAGGAATAAAGCGCATTAAATAATCTCTTGGTAAAGGATATTTCGAGCTCAGTTGCAGAGAAACAAAGAGTAAACGGACCAGAGAAAATTTGTATCAGAGAAAATTTTGAAAATCTAATTTGAATTTTTAGCGTCTCCACTTGAGTTTATTAAAAAAAAATTTTAAACTCAACTTTTGAAAAGAAATTAAAGAAAGAAGACGAAGGAGAACGAATACGAGATTCTTGCTGACAAAAACCCTCTCTGCCACTCTCTAAACTTGAATCAGCCGAAGTAGATTGGAGTAGATTGAGTAGCGCTAAGTGCTCAGCTGACTATTCAATCAGCTGCATACTATCCAAACCGCTGATTCGAGTGAAGAGAACAGTCGTCAGGCAAACTCTAATTTCAGTTTTCTATTGCAGGCTTTTCGAAAAATTCAAAATGAAAGAAGAGACGAGAATATGAGGAAAATATTAGAAATTTATTAGATAAACAAAATGAATGAATTAGATTGAAAGGAGCGTATTCACAATTATTATAAAAGTTATAACTCGTTTATTAAATTAAATAATTGTGAATAATATTCTTGATTTAGGAGCAGTTGTACTAAAGCAAGAATATGTTTTCTGGTTGAACAACTTTTTATTCGGTATGTTAATTTAACGGTTGAAAGAGTATCACGAATATCACCTGAAATTTATTTACTCCCAAATGAATGTAATGAAAAGACATTTATCATATTCCAGTAAAACAATTGAATTTGTAACTGACAATATCTATAAATATCCTAATTTTTATTCTTGTATACTTGAATTTCTATTTTGAATTTCTATTTGGTATAATTCTCATCTTTTCTAAATTATAAAAATTTTACATAAACTTGAACTTGAGGTTCTTTCATCTCAATTTCAAATTCACATAATTGTATAATCCAGGGTGTCTACAATTTTCAATCAACAAAATGCCTCGTTTTTTTTCTCATCAAATTTAAATTTATTTGATTTCAAACATAAATAAATCTACAAATGGCTACAAAAATTTTTTATGAACAATTAAATTCCTTCGATGTTTCTTTAAATTTAAACTTAAGTTTCTTTAAATTTTTCGAAAATAATGTTTTTTTTTTAATAATCTTAATGAAAAATTTGGAAAATAATTGAATTTTTTCAAATTTTTTCAAAATCTTGTCTGTTCATAATTATAGTTGACAATTTGATTAATTCAATTTTATTAAAATCTTATTGATGCTAATTGAATTTCTGCAAAGAATTTTACTATTTATAAAAGTAATTGAATTCTTCCAAAGAATGTTATTATTTCTGACGTGCTCTTAAGAAAGGTACCTAATAAGCAAAGGAATTATAGGTTAGGTTCGTGTTAGATTTATCTTGGTTAAAAGTTAATTTTTAATTATTTGAATTTAAAACAAATTTTTAATTCTTTGTATGTATACAAAGAAGACTTGAAAATCAATAATTTTTAATTAATAATTGATTCTCTTTCTGTATTTTTACTCAAACCATTAAAGAACATAACCTCAAATTTTTTGCTTCTTAGGTACCTTTCTTCGGAGCGTGACATATTTATGAAAATAATTAAATGTTTACGTAGAATTAAAATTTTTCAAAATAGTTGAATTATGGAGAACAATTTAATTATTTATTGAAAATAATTGAAATTTAGAGAATTTAAAAAGAAAAATTAACATCAAAATTCAATTATCTTGAAACAATAGAATTGAAAAATTTCAAAAATCTTATTTTTCAGAATTTTCAAAAAATCTTTGCAAACATTCAATTAGATTAAAAAATTTTAAATCTGTATTTTTTTAAATTAACTAATAAAAATTTTAATTATTAATCTTTGCACTAACATTAATACATTAGAATGTGACTATAAAATTCAATTATTTATCCATTATTAAATTAAAATACTTTGAAAATTCGATTTGTTAAAAAGTTTTTAATGAAATTTGTTAACAAATTGAATTCTTTTCACTTGAATATCACAAAATTTTTATTCGATAATTTGTTTAAAAATTTATTTATATATTAAATTTCAATCAATGACTGATTTTTTACTATAAAATTAATTATTTTCAACTAATTCAAATTTAGAGAACAGTATAAATATCTATAAAAAGTGAAATAAAAAAGAGATTTTTTAAAAACAAATTAAAATAATAAAATAAAAATAATAAATAATAATAAATAATAAAACTTTCTAGATGGAAAAGTTAACGTTAGCTAATGCTACTAACGTTATAATCTGATATTAGTCATAAAAAAATATCTAACGAAAATGACTAACGTTAGTCTAACGACATTTTTTTATCACTAATATCAGATAATAACGTTAGTTAACATTAGTCTAACGTTAGTTAATGTTAGTCTAACGTAAGTTAACGTTTGTCTAACGTTAGTAGCTTTAGCTAACGTTAACTTTTCCACCTGGGTTTTTTGTTAATTTGGTGAGAAAATTCCCGATTTTTTTCGGTCAAATTAAATTCCAGACTAGTTCCCGTATTTCCCGATTAGTAGACACCCTGATTATCAGAATTGACTTGTTATAAAAATTTTATCTATTAACATTATTGGCATGATTATGAGAGGAATTTTTCAGCGAAATTTAAATGCAAGTGATTAGTTGCTTTGAAATTACGCGATTGAAAAATTAATTATAGAATATGAAATTAAATTTATGTCTGGTTTGATTTTGTGCTGACAGTTTTGACGAGAGCAAATTTGAATCAATGATCTTAAAAAAAAATTATACCAAATAGAAATTTTACTCGACAAATTTCGATTAGGTAGTTTAGAGGTTATGTCAGTTGAAAATACGGGTAAAAGCACAAAGTAGTATAAGTAGCGTTGACTGAAAAACATGGCCTATCTCACGTTATCCGGTGGTGGACTGTTGACCGCGACCTCCTCGGGAAAATTAAAAACTAAATAACGCCTTCTTGAAGCAGTTTTTAATTTTCAAGGTCGCCACCGGAAAACGCGAGATTGGCACAGACGTGTTTGTCTCCTAATACTACTTCGCGGGTAAAAGTACTCTCTCAGCTCAGCCGCTGCCTGCCTGCGGGAGTTGTCATGGTAACACACGAGAGTAAAAGAGTAAGAAAATTCAGAAGAAGTGCTTTCTCTCTCTCACTCTCGTTGCGGCTGCCCGCGCAGAATGGCAGACGGCAGAGCTGCGAGAGTACCGCGATAATGAAAAATAAAGTTTGAGAACGATGAATTGTGTGTCGAATGGACGTTGCGAGTTAGTCATGCATCTCTTTGATTTGAGAGAAAGAAGGTGTTGAGGATGATGAGCGAGAATAGAAGAAATGGATGCGTCTGCGGAATAGGAGAGAATTAAGAGAAGAGCGAACAACAATGTATTGCGATTGAACGATTATTACGAGCACGGATAAATCGCCGAGCTGATGCTGTGGTAGGCGGCGAGGGCGGCGTGCGCGTGCGCGTGCGCAGGGGGCGCGGATGCGGCTACTGCGTGCGGCGAGGAGGCCATCGCGGATGCCGCCGCGGCTGCCATCATCATCTGCTGGTGCGAACGCTTTAGGGAGTTGGGAGTTGTGGCGGCGCTACTCGGGGCAGTAATAGTGGTAGTGGTGTTGTTCGTTTGCGGTGGTGGCGGCGGCGGGTGGTTTTGGCTTTGGTTTTGGCTCAGTTGCAAGGGGGTGGTACTGCCGATACTGGCGTGATTACTCTGGTGATGGTGGTGATGGTTGTGATGGTGGTGGGGAGTGATCGCGTCGTGCGGATAATAAGACGCTGATGATGGTGAGGTACTCACGACGTCGGGCGTGCTGGCTCCATCGGTATGGCTCGCGCTGTCAGCTGTACTCCTCGGTCCACCGGCGTCCAAACCGTTACCCATATCTGGAGGTTTCGTACTATCCCGGTCGTCGATCACGAGGTCGATTGGCATTTTACCCTTCAAGCAGCTAATGTATCGGTGGCAGAAATTGTCACACAACTCGTGAACCTGAAAAAGACAATTTTTTCAAAATTATTCATCAATGACAAAAAAAGTGTTTATCAAATTTGTTTTATGGTGAGAATAAATGATTTTTACGCAAAAAATTAATTTTCTTTTTCCCTGACCCTAAAGAATATTCTGATTCACTCTAAAAATTATTAGATACTCAAAAAATGTGACGCGATCTGAAGAAAGAAAAGCAGAAGAAAGAAGATCTGAAGAAAGGGACCTTAGAAGCAAATCACTTTAAGCTTATGTTAGTGTTAGTTTTTTATTGATTGAAAGTTACTTTTTATTTATTGCAAATTAAAATCAGTATTTATTAAATATTTTAGTTGTAATAAAGACTTAAACATCAATGATTTACATTAACAGTTGACCCTTTTTTCGTATTTTCATTTCAAAAATTTCAAACATAACCTATAATTTTTTGCTTCTAAGGTCCCTTTCTTCAGATCGCGTCACAATATTTATTTACGAATTTTTTAAATTGTAAAATTATTCGAAAATTTAATTTGTACTTTGATACAATTTATTTGTACCAATGTACAAATAAATTATTATCATTCCACAGGAATTAGAATTTCCAAAAAATTTGAAATTCAAACCGTTTTGCAATTCGACAACTTATAAGAAAATTATTAGAAAACATGAAGATATCAATCACTCCGAGTCAAAAACTCGGAGTGATTGATATCTTCATGTTTTCTAATAATTTAAATTTCCATAAAATTTTTCAAAAAAAATTAACTTATTTACAAAAATTTAAATAAAATCCTTCACAGGAATTCATTATTTTCATAAATAATAAAATTTTTCATAGAATTTCAATTATTTTTAAAAAAATTTTACAGGAATTGCTAAAAAAATGTAATTATTCTTAAAAATTTAATTTCAATTCCTCGAAAAAATTAATTATTTAAAAAAATACTATTTTCAAATTCTTTAAAAAAATTCAATTATTTACAAAAAAAAATTATAATTTTTCACAGGAATTCAATTATTTTCAAATATTTTAATAACATTGTTCGAAAGAAATCAATTACTTTAAATACAATTTTAATTTATTTTTTTTGAAATGATTCAATTATTCTTTTAGATTTTAATAAAATTCTTCTCAAGCATTCAATTATTTACATAAAAAATTCTTCGAAAGAATTCAATTATTAAAGACAAATAATAAAATTATTCCCGAGAATTCAATTATTTTGAGGCATTTTAATAAAATTTTTTGCAAAATTCAATTATTTTCATAAATAACAATATTCATTACAAGAATTCAATTATTTTGAAAAGTATTAAATTTTTTATTGGAAATTCAATTATTTTAAAAAATTTTAACAAAATCGTTCGCATAAATAATAAAATAATAAAAATAAAATAAAATATAAAATAATAAAATGCTTTTTAGGAATTCAATTAATTAAAAACAAAATTTAATAAAATGCCACACAGACATTCAATATTATTCTCAAATATTTTAATAGAATTCTTAGAAAAATTTAATTATTTTTAAAAACTTTTCGTAATTCAATGATTTTTCAATATCTAATATTTTCAGAAAATTTCCAAACAGAATTCAATTATTTTAAAAAAATTTTGTAAAAATCTTCTTTAGAATTCAATAATTACATTCATAAATAATAAAATTTTTCACAGGATTTTAATTATTTTTAATACAATTTTACGTAAATTCTTCGAAAAATGTAATTAAAATTTTTTATTAAAATTCTTCGAAAGAAATCAATTATTAATTATTTTTAATAATTATTGCAAAAGTTCCTTCAGAATTTTAAAAACTATTTGTTAACAATTCGTCTTTGCGAAATTTATCGATTATTCGGAAATCCTTCAATTAAATATTTAAAAAATAAAAAATAGAAAGAATTTCAAAAGAAAATTCAATTAAACCTTTTTAAAAAAAAATTAATTCTACAGAATTGTCAGTTAAAAATATGAAAACTTTAAATTTTCAAAGATTTTAATTTGAAACTTTTTGAAAATTCAATTATTTATAAAAATTCATGCTTTCATTAAATTCATTAACTTTTAATATTCAATAATTATGTAAAATTTGAACTAAAATTAATTTTTAAATCAATTTTTATTAGAAAATTCTACGTGAATTCAATTATTTTAAATATAAAAATAAACACATAATTTATTGAATAATAGTTATATACTCAAAATTGAATTATCATAAAGAAATATAACAACAGAACTGCATTTTTTCGACTTAATAAAATTTTCAAGAATAATTACATTTTTCGAGGAATTTGATTGAAATTTTATTCAAAAATAATTTAAATTCTACAAGTTTTATTATTCATGAAAATCATTAAATCTCTGTAAAAATTTTTTTATTATTTTATGAAAATAATTATTGAATGATTGCGAAGAAATTTATAAAAAATTTGTAAATATCTGAATGCTTGTGAAATTGTTTTTGAAAATAATTTAATGTTTGCTTAGAATTTTATCAACATTTTTTTTAAATAATTGAATTCTTTTGAAAAATTGTATTAAAATACTAGATATTGAAAATCATTGAATTGAGGAAAATTTTTGAAAATCATTGAATATTTGCCGAGAATTTTATTATCATTTTTGAAAATCATTGAATTTTGGAGAAGAATTTTTTTAAATTTAAAGATAATTGCAATTTGGAGAAAATCATTTTAATGGCAATTTTTTAAACTCTTGTTGAACCACAACACAATACTTTATTTATAAGTTTCTAATTGAAACGGCTAATCTTCTTTCAGATTGCATTTATAGATTTTAAATTTTTTTTTTTTTTTTTTTTTTTTTTTTTTTTTTTTAATTTTAAAGTTATTTTAGACAAAAAATCTTCAAAATTATTTTTTATTTTCAAAATAAAAAATTATTATCATTTTCATTCGAGAAACGACCCATTATTGAGAAAAACGTTCATTAGGAAATGCGGATTATTCGGTAAACACACAAGAGAAAAATCTTGTTTTCAGATTAATTTTCAGTTTGATTAATTTTCAATCAAAGTGCAACATATACTCATGTTCGCCTAGAGGATATCACACTTATGCAAAAGTTATGTAAATGCGAACCATTAATAACAAATTACAGCACACACTAAATGAAACGTTTTATGAACTGACTTTCCGTCGATTACAGTTGTACTTTGCTTAGATAAAGTATGGTAGATCTAAACTGAAGGTATCAATAAAGGCAGGCTCATTTCGAAGGCCATTTCAAAGTCAAAAGTGAGAAAGATAAAAAGAAGAGTGGACGGAAAAAGGCAGAATAAGAAAAGTAAGTAGTGTGAGCAAGACAGTCAGGTTGAGATAGAGGAGATCTGACCGGTGTCCAATCGAGCAGAATATTATGTATGCAAATGAGGACTGACAGGCCTGTAGGATACCAATCGTCTTCACTCTAAGTTGCCCTTCCCAAAGCCAAACTCTTTTCTTCTCAATCTTGATCCCTGAAACAGCCTGTCACCGTAAATGCTCGGAATCGGTTTTGAAAAAATCTATTATACCAACAAAAACAAATAAATATCGTTATATTGTAATATGTAAAATTGTAAATCGAACAAAAAGCAGAGCGCGTATTAATTTCGACATGTCGCGATTGCGATTCGATCCAACAGTTTTTTTTTCCTAATTTCTTCACTTTTTCTTTTTCCATAGGGGCGCATGGAGGAAAATAGTTTAAACCATATGAAGAAAAACGAAGATTGAAAAATAACTTTTTTTAAAATAAATATTTAATAATTATTATTTTTCCATAGGAATTAAGATTTTCAAAAATTTCAAATTCAATCACTTTTGAGAATATTATTATAAAACATGAAGAAATCGATCACTCCGAGTCTTCGACTCGAAGTGATCCCTTTCTTCAAGTTTTATAGTAATTGAAATTTGCTAAAACCATTATATTTTATATTATAAGAATATTGCTTATTGTTACTGTAACTTCTACAAAAATATTTTCATAATTTCGATTTATTATTAATTTCTGGAATTTTTAACTAAAATTCTTCTTTAAATCATTTTTTTTAGTAATTTTTGAAAAATTTCTTTGAGAATTTTCAATTCTTTGTGTTTACAATTCAATTTTATGAAATTTCGATTATTCTGACATTCTTCAATTAAATATATATTAGAAAATAAAAACTTCAAATAATTAAAAAAAAAATTCAATTACACTTTTTGAAAAAAAATAATTCTACAGAATTGTTTATTAAAAGTATCTTGACAAATTTAAAAAAAAAAATTTTTTAATAATATTTTTTTCGAGAAAATTTAATTAAAATTGTATCAAAAATAATTATTGAATTTCTCCAAAAAAATTTATAGGAGTTTTTGAAGTAATTCTCTAAAATTTTTATTTATGAAAATAATTAAATTTTTGAGTAAAATTTTATTAAAATTTTTTATTAAAAATTAAATTCTTGTGGGAAATTTTATTAAAGTAGTAGATATACATCAAAAAATCATTGAATTGAGGAAATTTTTTGAAAATAATTGAAATTCTGCAAAGAATTTTATTAAATTTTTTGAAAATAATTGAATTTTAGAGAAAAATTTTATTATTCAGAAAGATAATTGTAACTTTGACTAAAATTTTTGAAAATTTTTGAATATAATTGAATTTCTGCGAAGAATTATATTACTTTTGAAAATAATTGAATTCTTTTGTGAAATTTTATTGAAATAATTTTTACAACATTTTTGAAATTAATTTAATTTCTACGAAAAATATTAATAAAATTATTTTTAAAAAAATTGGATTGCACAAAAAATTTCATTAAAATTTTTGAAAATAATTTAATTCTTTAAAGAAATTCAACTAAAAATGTTTTGAAAATAATACTAAAATTCTAATAAATAAATTGTAGCAAAATTTTTAAAAATAATTGAATTTCTTTGATGAACTTTAATAAAAATTTTTAAGAATAATTACATTTTTCGAGGAAATTCATTAAAATTGTATTAAAAATAATTGAAATTCTGTGATGAGTT